CTTGAGCCTGGACATTGTCATGGGTCACCCAACTGATGCACGGCTTGGCTAGTGTGTGCTGTGGGGACCTGACTGAGGAGGGGAAATCTGGGTCCTCCTTGGAGAGCAAGTCCCTGTAATGCAGGGAGGAAGACTGCTAGAGCCCAGGAAATTGAGACCAGACTGGGCAATATAGTGAGACCTCATCTCTACAAAAAAAAATTAGATAGGTGTGGTGACCTCATCTCTACCAAAAAAATAAATTAACTAGGTGTGGTGGTGCATGCCTGTAGTCCCAGGTACTTGGGAGGCTGAGATGGAAGGATTACCTGGACCCAGGAAGTTAAGGCTGCTCTGAGCTGTCATGATTATGCCACTGCATTCCAACCTGGATGACAGAGTGAAACCATGACTCAAAAAATAAAATATATACTTTATTTTTATCTGACTCAGATTAAGTTTCATTGTGACAGTAGCTTCTGATTGCTTTTTTAAAAATTACTATTTAGTAGAAAAACTTATTTGCAAAACCTTATTAAAATATACCTTTGTTTTGAAGCCTAAATATTTTGGGGTAGGTAGAAAGTAGGAGAACTTTGTTTTAGAGTATTCAGGCATGTAAACCATAAATTACATTTTGGTTTAAATTGAATTGTTTCTCTTTCTTTTCTTTCTTTTCTTGTGTGTGTTTTTTGTTTGTTTGTTTTGAGTCGGAGTCTCACTCTTTTACCCAGGCTAGAGAGCAGTCACAGTTGACTACAGCCTCAACCTCCGGTTCAGACAACTCTTCCCCTCAGTCTGTCAAGTAGCTGAGACTATAGGCACACACCACCACACCTGGCTCATTTTTTTATTTTTTGTAGAGATGTCATCTCTTATGTTGCCCAGGCTAGTCTCCAACTCATGGCCTCAAGCAATCCTCCCACCTTGGCCTCCCAAAATGCTGGGATTGTAGGCATTAGCCACCACACCTAGCCAGTTTCTCTTTCTTTCTTTCTTTTTTTTTCCTGGTAGTGTATGCCTGTAGTTCCAGTTACTTGGAAGACTTGTTTCTCTTTCCGAGAAGTTAGATGAGGGAAAATCTAGCCTGTTTTAAAGAACTCAGCACAAATAAACAATGAATGACCAGATTCTTAAAAACAAATAACAAGGCCCTCATGAATTAATCGAAAAGGAGAGTTGCTGCTGTGACAGAGCTTACAAAGAAAAGCACAGGCAGACATTTTCTCATTTGCACTAAACCCACCATCCCCAGTGGGATGGAGAATATGTAGAAGTTACATTCTAATTCAGTTCACAGCACCTGTTATGATCATTTCTCATTCAGGCCAGCAGTTCTCAAGTGGAAACAGCTTTGCCTTCTGGGGGAAATGTGACAATATCCACAGATGTTTTTGGTTCTCACACCTGGGGGTGGGGTGCAACTGGTGTCTAGTGGGTGGAGGCCAGGACAGTGTCCAGGACAGGACATGACAAGGAAGAATCATCTGGCCCCGATCATCAATGGTGTGGAGGCTGAGAAACCTCCATCCTAGACCAAGAAACAAAGGAGGAAATCTTTAGAAATCATCGAGATGACACCTCTTTCTGTTTCATTGAATATTCTGGTTTCATTTTCTGTGATGAGGTCAAGTAGGATGGTTTATGCTGTTTCATTGTTGTGCTGTTACTGTGTAGCCCTTTTCTTTTTTTCTTTTTTGGAAAGCAGCATTTATTGAGAGGACAGAAAAGCTCCCAGAGTAGGAAGGGACCCGAGGGGGTTGCCAGTGTTGCCTTTTTTTTTTTTTTTTGAGTTGGAGTCTCACTCTATCACCCAGACTGAAGTGTGGTGGCCGCTCCCAGCCACTGCAGCCTCGCCTGCTGGACTCTGGCGATCCTTCCGCCGCAGCCTTCCAAGTAGCCAGAATTACAGGCATGCACTACCACGCCCGGCTGATTTTTAGATTTATTGTAGAGATGAGGTCTCGCTGCCCAGGCGGGTCTCAAACCCGCGGGCTCATGCAATCCACTCACCTCAGCCTCCCAAAGGTGCGGGATTACAGGCTGAGCCACCGAGCCCGGCCTGTGTTGCCTTTTTTAAGAGAATGGGCAGGTGTACAGTACTAAAGTTACAGAAGAAAAATGTGATGTGTCCAATTTGCATTGTTTCATTTTGCAAGAAGAGATGAATTACTGTTTACAAAAGAGTAAATAATAGAAAAGATTTCTCAGTTATTTCACTAAGATTTGGAATTTTATTTATTTTCTCTAAATAACATTGTGCCCAATGACAATGTATTTTACTAAATTATATAATAATTTTGTGTTGATACAAAAAATGTTTTACATTGAAAAATATAGTTTATTAGAAAGTAAATTAGAGTGAGGAGATTCGCCTCCCCAAGTTAGGAGAGGGGTCAAAGCTAGAAAACATGGCAGCCATAGCTCAAAGAGCCACAAGGATACACCAGAGTTTTATAAAGCAATGGCCACAAAATTCTTTTTTTGAGTTGGAGTCTCACTCTGTCACCCAGACTGGAGTGCAGTGGCCGCTCCCGCCCACCTCAGCCTTGATCTTATGGGCTCTGGCAATCTTTCCGTCTCAGCCTTCCAAGTAGCTGGAACTACAGGCGCGCGCTACCACGCCTGGGTAATTTTTGATTTATTGTAGAGATGAGGTCTCACCAAGTTGCCCAGGAGGGTCTCAAATCCACGGGCTCAGGCAATCCACTCACCCCAGCCTCCCAAAGCGCAGTATTACAGGCTGAGCCACCGAGCCTGGCTCAAAATTCTATATAAATTTGGAGTTGGTTCTTTATGTTATTAATAACCACTGAAAGAATAAATGAAATGAGATGATTAGGATATGTTTTGTAAACCTGCCAAACATTCTTTTTTTTTTTTTTTGAGTTGGAGTCTCACTTTGTCGCCCAGACTGGAGTGCAGCGGCCGCTCCCGGCCACCGCAGCCTTGACCTGCTGGGCTCCGGCGATCCTTCCGCCTCAGCCTTCCGAGTAGCCGGAATTACAGGCGCGCGCTACCACGCCCGGCTAATTTTTTGATTTATTGTAGAGATGAGGTCTCACCTGCCCAGGTGGGTCTCGAACCCGCAGGCTCAGGCAATCTACTCACCTCAGCCTCCCAAAGGTGCGAGATTACAGGCTGAGCCACCGAGCCCGGCTCTACCAAACATTCTAAATGTGACATCCTCAATTATTCCTTTTTCTTTGTGTGGATTCACAGTCTCACTCTGTTGCCCAGACTGGAGTGCAGTGGCATGATCACACCTCACCACAGCCTTGACCTCCTGGGTTCAGGCAATCCTGCCTCAGCCTCCTGAGTAGTTGGGACTACAGGCATGTGTCACCATGTGCCAGCTAATTTTCTTTTCTTTTCTTTTTTGTGGAGATAAGGTCTCACTGTGTTGCTTAGGCTGGTCTCAAATTCCTGGGTTTAAGCAATCCTCTCGCCTTTGCCTCCCAAAGTGCTGGGATTATAGGCATGAGCCACCATGCCCAGCCTGATAGCCCAAGAATTTCACAGAGTAGCTTATTGCTTCCTAAGGTTGTACTGCAATCTTTTTAGGAGTTTATTGCCTCATAGGTGTATAGAAATTTACCTGAAGTAATGAACACCATGGGTAAGTAAGAACCTTGAATGTGATGTAATATCACCAATAATAAAATCAGATTTTTTAAATCTTAAGTCTCCCTTTTTTTAGTTGAAGTCTCACTCCGTCGCCCAGACTGGAGTGCAGTGGCCGCTCCCGGCCACCGCAGCCTCAACCTGCTGGGCTCCGGCGATCTTTCCGCCTCAGCCTTCCAAGTAGCTGGAACCACAGGCACACGTTACCACGCCCGGCGAATTTTTTTATTTACTGTAGAGATGAGGTCTCGCCAATTTGCCCAGGCGGGTCTCGAACCCACGGGCTCAGGCAATCCACTCACCTCGGCCTCCCAAAGTGCTGGCACTAGGTCAGCGGGGCTTGGTGACTCAGCCTGTAATTCCAGCACTTTGGGAGGCCGAGGTGAGTGGATTGCCTGAACCTATGGGTTCAAGATCAGCCTGAGCAAATTGGCAAGACCTTCTCTCTATAACAAAAAAATTTTTTTTAAATTAGCGCCCATCTGTAGTTCCAGCTACTTGGAAGGCTGAGGCAGAAGATCACTGGAGCCCGGTGGGTCAATGCTGGGGTGGCCGTGAGTGTGCCACTGTACTCCAGCCTGGGTGTCCGAGTAAGATTCCAACTCAAAAAATAAAAATAAAAGTACTATGTCTCAGTGAAATATTGGGGGAAGTAGTTCACCAAAACAAAAGCGTAAACCAAAACAAGGGAAAAGCACAGAAGATAAAAGCATCAACCCAGGAGAGAACTGAAAGGAATCTCTAGGATACCAGAAAAGGGAGAAACCAGGATGACAGCCCTGCACCATCAAGTATGACTCAAGAAACAAGCGTTCTGACGGCCATTATCCACAAGTGATGATGTGCTAATAAGTGCCATCACCCCCGCCCCCCCCATTCCTTCTGTCACTGCATCTTCTTTTGAACCTGTTGGTATTCAGACCAGGCAGGTTGACTCATGCCTGAAATCCCAGCACTTCGTGAGGCTGAGGCAAGCTGATTGCTTGAGCCTAGAAGTTCAAGCCCAGCCTGGGCAACATGATGAGACCTCATCTCTATAAAAAGTCAAAAAATTAGCCTTGCATGGTGGTGTGCACCTATAGCCCCCAGCTACTTGGAATGCGGGGGTGGAAGGATGGCTTGAGCCCGGCAGGTTGAGGCTGTGGTGGCTGTGACTGTGCCACTGCACTCCAGCCTGGGTGACAGAGTGAGACTCCAACTCAAAAAAAAAAAAAAAAGGCCTGACAACATTCAGCTAATGATAAAGTTCCTGGTTGTTTGCTGCTCGGCCTCTGGAGGGGCGTTCTCCGCAGGGCCGCCGGCGCGGGCCGCAGTGACAGGCAGCTCGCCCCGCGCGTCTGCCCGCGTCCTTCCTGGTGCCGCGTCTGCTGGCGGCCTCCGCGTCCCGCAGGCCCAACATGGCGCAGGAGGTGTCGGAGTACCTGAGCCAGAACCCGCGGGTGGCCGCCTGGGTGGAGGCGCTGCGCTGCGACGGCGAGACTGAC